GTTTCTGCTCTATGTGTGTGTGTGTGTTGAATGTGTTTCTGAACTCTAGAAGCTGATCTAGTGAGTTCTGCGCCTCTGACTGGCAGCATTATAAAGCACAGGTGCATTGTGGGTTCTGCTGAACATCAGAGAACACAAATCTCCACAGTAAAACACCGCAGACTGAGCCACTTTCCTTTCCTCGGTGCTCGTGAGAAATGCAGATTGCAGGAGCACTTTAAGCCTTCCAAGCTTACTCACAAGACGGCACAGAGAGTTTGAGTGGGCGGTAATGACTGTAAATATGCAAACGATTACACCCAATGACCTGCTCACCTCACCGCTGTCACTGTCTGATGAGGAAGAGGAAGATGACGTGGATGATGAGGAAGAGGAGCTGGATTTCTGTGTGATGGAGAGACACGATTAATGCACAGATACAAATTTGCTTTATTTTTTACTGTGTGTGTGTGTGTGTGTGTGTGTGTGTGATTACTAAAATAAGTGTGATTATGCATTATGAAAACATCTCATCTAAAACCACGCTCTTCTACATTCTCAAAGGCATGCACTGCTCTGCAATTAATAAGCTTGAGGATGCGCTCAGATATCGGACTCTGGATGCTTGACTGAATGATGCATCAATCACATGCACGTTTCTCTCAAAATGTATCATGTTATATGTTGCACAGGTATATTTCTGGCAACATATTCAACAATGTATTATACACTACCTGACAAGAGTCTTGTCATCTATCCAGGTTTTAGGAACACAAATAATAACTGGACTTGTAGTTGATGATTTGGTGTCAGAAGTGTCGTATATGAAAGGCAGAGGCCTCTAGATTTTGCTTATTTGAGTTCAATAAAACATGATCATGCCTTGATGTTGACTGATTTGATGAGGACAGTGCGGTCTGACTCTGCTCAGACTAAAGTGTCATCACTGAACAGAAATAAAGTCCAGTATAGAATATAAAGTCCTGCTGCAGTGGAGACAGAATGAATATTGTGTCTGACTCCATCATGAGCTTGGAGGACTGCATCCATACATCTCTGACATGACTCACATCACTGATTAATAAAGTCATCTGGAATGAAGAAGAAAGCGTTCAGCAGGACTCCCAGAGTTCATCAAGAGTCTTTGTGTTCATCTTCAACACCTCCTCCTTCATCTTACCCCAGACATACTCAATAATGTTCATATCTGGTGACTGGGCTGGCCAATCCTTAAGCACTTTGACCTTCTCTGCTTTCCGGAGCTTTGATATGGAGGCTGAAGTATGAGGAGCGCTATCCTGCTGGAGAATTGTCCCTCTCCTGTGGTTTGTAATTTAATGGGCAGCACAAATGTCTTGATACCTCAGGCTGTTGATGTTGATCATCCACTCTGCAGATCTCTCGCACGCCCCCATACTGAATGAACCCCAAACCATGATTTCTCCTTCACCAAACTTGACTGATTTCTGTGAGAATCTTGGTCCATGCTGGTTCCAGTAGGTCTTCTGCAGTATTGGTGATGATTGATGCAGATCAACAGATGATTCAGCAGACAAATCCACCTTCTGACACTTTAACAAATGATCAACTAGAAGACAACTTAATATTTGCTGCTCTTACAACCGAGATCGACGACAAGACTTTTGTCATGAAGTGTATAGGTCAAAACGATCCATTATTGTTTTATGCTGAAATCAATATAATATGAAGTATTGATCACTTTCCATGAAGATCTTTTCTAAATATCCTTCCAGTAACACTGATTAGTAATGTGGCGACGCAGTGGCGCAGTAGGCAGTGCTGTCACCTTACAGCAGGAAGGTCGCTGGTTCGAGCCTCGGCTGGGTCAGTTGGTGTTTCTGTGTGGAGTTTGCATGTTCTCCCTGTGTCCGTGTGGGTTTCCTCCGGGTGCTCTGGTTTCCCCCACAGTCCAAAGACATGCGGTACAGGTGAATTGAGTAGGCTAAATTGTCTGTTGTGTTTGTGTGAATGAGTGTGTGTGGATGTTTCCCAGAGATGAGTTGCGGCTGGAAGGGCATCAGCTGCATTAAAATTGTGCTGGATGAGTTGGCGGTTCATTCCGCTGTGGGGACCCCGGATTAATAAAGGGACTGAGCCAACAAGAAAATGAATGAATGAGTGATTAGTAATGTGCATTGCTACCTATTATTTTTGAAGTATTTAGATTTTTCTGAAAAATAAGAGTCCAGATTTTCAAGTAGTTGCATGTCAGAAACATATGTACAAAGACTGTACAAAGTAAACATCAATAGAAAGCTCAGCTACTCAGGAGGGAATTTGGCCAGGACACCGGGGTAACACCCCTGCAGTTGCTCTGAAATCCCATCTAATTGGTCCACCGTTTTTATGTTGTTAAATAAAAAAAAAAAAAAAAGGACTCTGTGTGTTTGTATCATCCCAATGACCACCTATACCAGGGCTATTCAATTAGTTTGGCATGGGGGCCGGTTCATGAAAAGCATCCCAAACGAAGGGCCAGAGAGATATGACTTGCTATATGAGTGATGACACAATTATAAGAACCCATATGCTGCGTTTGTGCTCCCACGTTGGCTTTTTCTACATTAAAATGTCAATATATTGTATTTTAAAACAACTGCATTGTCCAATTGACTTTTTTTTGTTTACAAACATTCAAAATGTTGTATTTTGCACAACAAAAGCAGTGCATGGCTGAAGCAGGCTTTTTCTAAATCAGACACATTCATATGTTTTGAACAGCAGAACAATTAGTGATGCAACATTATAGATTTTGGATTTACGATATAGTCTGAAGAATAATCATGCTTTCACGGTAATCACGTCTAATGTAAATTCAAGCTTTATATTTGGGAAGTAGCTATTTAGATTAACTGTTGTTATCATCTGGGTTCATGCGTGTATAATCATTTTAATAATAATTCGTCTAATATGTATTGTGTTTACATTGCATTGAAAGGCACGCACAACTCTCATCGTGAGACGTTTTCTACTGCGTTGCTCCACTTGTGTGCACATATTGTCATTCTTACATTAGAAATAGAAAAACTTGCAAGCGGAAAAGACGTGATAAGGGAACGTCAGCTGCTATAGTTAATCCGGTGTGCATGTGTATTAGCCTCGGTGTACATACTTGGAACTTTAAACTAGCGCACAGTTGGCAACTTGTCATAACTTTTCTGTGCAACAGAAATGCGGCTTAGAGAAGCCTTTACGATTAATTAACTGTGGCGAATTAAAGCGCAGGTAATAGTGAAATCAGCTAATCGTTGCATGCCTATTAATGATTACAGTGCATTGTACAAAAGGCATTTTCAACAAAACATTTCCAAATGTTTTCAGCTGTCCGCACCACTCGCTTATGGTGACTCGCGCTCTGCGCAGCCTCTGCAGCTCATACTGTACTGAACAAACGTACGTAACTTCATAGCTATAGCGGTCGTTTTTCGACTGAACTAAATGTATTTTTATGTCTTGGTCACACTGTTTGGAGGGCCAGAACAAATTGCCTCAGGGGGCCGGGTTCGGCCCGCCAATTGAATAGCCCTGACCTATACACTATACCTACACACGTGTCTGTCCAAACAGCTTGAAAAGTAGATTTTTCCCCATAGGTGCCCTTTAAAGGGTCACGAAACACCAAAGCACATGTCTTGAGCTGTTGACAGTCGTATATGTGTCCCACACTGCTATAAACACTATTAGGACACCTATATTTCACTAAAAAGTGTAAATTGGTTGTTTTTGCGTTATTTCAAGCAAATTCGTACTTCCGGTTTGAAACAAATTCTTGAAGCTGCGTCACGGTCATGAGATAATAGCGTGTATTGCAGCGTGCAGACTGGACGTCTGTGCCAGAGTGAGTCTTATTACGTCTTACAGTGTGATGCATTAATGCATGAGTAAGGCTTGGTTCAAACCAATCAGCGCACTCTATTGTGCAACTTCATTAATATTCATTACTGTCAGAGTGTAGACGGCAGAGACGCCACGTTGTGTTGGCAAAACAAGCGTGAAGTGTTGCTTTTATAGTTTGCTGCAGTGAAGTTTTGTTTTCATTTTCTCTCTGTGAGAGCTCAGCTGGAGTCACGTGTGGATTAACAGTGTACGCGACGCGCGACAACAATAACTTACGTGCCTAAGGAGGATTATTGTTTACCTGAGAGCTGTTCTCATCTGCAAACGCTGAGATCCGGATTCGCTTGTAGTCTCCTCTAAATAAAGACACGGCTCTAGTTGCTGGTGATTGTCCTGTCTCTACAGATTTGGTGCGACCAGTGCTCTTTGTTTATTCAGTTCGCATTTTATTCGTATCAAACAAACTATTGCACCAGTGTAAACAAGTTAGCACTAACAGTTACAACCAAACTATAACCTTGTGTTGGATTTTGTGACCGGAATAACACACGCGGCTTTCTGACGCTACCTGCCGTGTGCATCTAAGTTTCCGGGAAATGCTGAGTTTTTTTTTCTCTCATTCGCCGTGCGGTATCAAACATTGCATGAAAAATACACGCTTAGAGCAGCTCCTCGAATCAAATATCACGTTTGTCAGGAGGGACATGAATGAATTCCCTGAATGAAAGAGCCAAACTGCAGTTAAAGTCCGCCATTCTATAATTTGGCAAATAATTTGACTACAGATGTCCATGTAAACACAGTCACATTGTCCGCTGTGGTTGTGTGTTTTGACTCTGAAATTCAGCGCGCCCAAATAGACACTCCCACACCAAGCCTCTTTTCTACCTCTGACACTCCCCCTAAACAGAACTGGACACGCCCACTTTTCTGACTTTTTCCCCAAAGTAGAGGTGTGAAAACACCCTGCTGAAACTAAGGGGGTTTCATGGCCCTTTAAGTACCTTGCTTCTTTTCCTCTTCAGCTTTTTCTTCTTCTTCTTGCCTTCATTATCCTCCTCCTCATTGTCAGAGGAGCTGGCGCATGACCATGGGTCATTCTGGAGAGGAAGAAGCAGGTTTCAAAGTTTAAGTTTACAGGAAGGGGGCATGCAAACAAACAGTTCAAGTCAGAATTATTAGCCCTTCTGTATATTTACCTCTAATTTCTTTTTAACGGAGAGACGATTTTTTTCAGCACATTTCTAAACGTAATGGTTTTAATAATATTAGACTAGATATTCTTCAAGACATTAGTATTCAGCTTAAAGTGACATTTAAAGACTTAACTAGGTTGATTAGGGTAAAGTTAGGGTAATTAGGCAAGTCGTTATTCCTGTTTATGTAAAGCACTTTGAATTGCCACTGTGTATGCAATGTGCTACATACATAAATAAACTTGCCTTGTATAACAGTGGATTGTTCTGGAGACAATCCAAAACTAATATTGCTTAAGGGGGCGAATAACATTGGCCTTAAAATGGTTTAAAACAATTGAGAACTGCTTTTATTCTAGACGAAATAAAACGAATAAGACTTTCTCCAGAAGAACAAATATTATAATACTGTGAAAAAATCCTGAATCTGTTCAACATCATTTGGGCAATAATTGAAAAAGAGGGCGAATAATATTGACTGTTGGTCATTACGCAGTTTGTAGTGTACTACACTTGATTAAACCTTCCTACCTTCACATATGGTACTTTTGGATCCACATCACACACTGTTACAGAGGAAGCTCCGCCCCCTTCCTCCAGTTCATTCCTGCGCTCTGAGTCTGCAGCTGTACACATGCCATTTAAGAAGATTAATATTAAAATAGTCTATAAAGCATTCATAATATATGGGTCAAATTGTACATACACATTAATAACTAGTCCATAATAACCAGGCTGGCTTCTGACTTTAATTAAACTGATTTATAAATAAGAATATTCTTTAATTAATTCATTCATTTTCTTTTCGGCTTATTCCCTTTACTAATCTGGGGTCGCCACAGCGGAATGAACCGCCAAATTATCCAGGATATGTTTTATATATGTTATATGTTATATATGTTAGCATATGCCCTTACAGCTGCAACCCATGACTGGGAAACATCCATACACACTTATTCATACGCATACACTAAAAACTATTTGCTGACCCAATTCACATGCACCGCATATCTTTGTACTTGTGGGGGAAACCGAAGCACCCGGAGGAAACCCACGCCAGCACTGGGAGAACATGCAAACTCCATACAGAAATGCCAAATGACCCAGCCAAGGCTCGAACCAGTGATCTCCTTGCTGTGAGGCAATCGTGCTGCTCACTGCGCCACCGTTAGTTGCATATAATTATGCATAAATTATAGTAACTTCACACAGAAATGCCAACTGACCCAGCCGAGGCTCGAACCAGTGACCTTCTTGCTGTGAGGCGATCGTGTAACTCACTGCGCCCCTTAGTGGCATATAATCATGCATAAATTATTGTAATTACGATAGTAAATAAATGGAACCGGTCTAACATAGACACGTTAAGAAAAAAATGTGTTAAGCTGCGGTCACACATGACTTTCCTCCCCATAGACTTCCATTCATACGCACGCGAATGCGTCAGACCGGAAACGCAGGGTCATGCGTCAAATTTCGCAAGCTTGGTGAGCTCTGACCTGCGAAATCGCATCACTTGACTGCGTGAGACTAATCGAGGAACAAAACATGACCTCTCTGGACAGGAATTTAAAACATGGAGCAATCGCTCGCTTTTTTAAATGTCTAATAAGCTCGTTTAATCCCGCAGCTCGTTTAATCTCGCAGCGCCGCACGACTCGCATGCTCAAACTTTAATGCGACTTCAGCTTTACCCAAGTTTTGTAAGAAGTCATGATAACATTCACTTGTAAAACTAATTTGTGCAGTTTAAATCAGTTTTTAGACGTAGATTTACTAGTCTTAATATTTTGAAATGGCTTAGTTTTAGTTTATTTTTTTGTTAGTTTCGCTGATAGTTTTGTAAGATTGAGATTTAACTACAGCTGACAGAACTGTAGTTCAGCCGAATGACTGAAAGAGTTCAGTATGATGGTGAAAACTGTACATCTAGTCAAAGCATCATTCTGCATTCTTATCCCAAAATTGAAATAAGGGCAGTGTTACATTCCTGTACATTACTGTGTTGCGTGATTATTATTTATATATATATTTTTTCTCGCTAGTCTCCCTCTCTCTCCCTCTCCGTGCTCGCTTGCTCTCTACCTCTCTCCCGCTTCCACCTATTCACTGGCTCTGATTGGCTACCACTGCCCAGCTGTTTGCCGTGCCCCCCTTGACGTCATCCAAGGTCTCCAATCCAGCCGCTGCCACCGTGGCATAAAAGTGGTGACAGTACGCTACTCTGGAGGCCCTGAATTTCTGTGTTGTGCTGTGTGTCAGTGATTTTGATATATGTCTACTGTGTGTTACAATTTGGTATCTGTCCGTTATTTGTCTGTTCTCCATTTGTCTACCATCAGTGTCATGCACCTGAGGTTGGAGAGTGGGACAGGTGAGAATGTCGTGCGACATACATTGTGCACACATAGTTGAATATCTCTGTGTTAGACACATTAGGTAAGGGGCGTACTCCACCCACTGTACTTTTTGTTTTCTCATCAGATATTAGAGTAGGTTAGGTAGTGCGTAATAGATGCGAAGACTTTTTTTCAATAACTTCTATATTTTTCTTTTGGATAGTTAGGGTAGAGGTTGGGCCAAATAGATTGTTTTCTTTAATTTCTTTCTATTGTTTGGACGCCGCCCGCGTCTCATTTCTCCAACTCTCCCATATCTGGTCAAACATCTTATGTCTCATTTGTTATCTGTGAAATTCAATGCGTCTCTGTACATATTCAATGATATGTCTATATACATATTTTTGGCATTCATTATTATCACTATTTTTGTAAATAAACTCACTTTATTACATTTAGCTGGTCTTGGTTTTGGTCCCTTATTTGTTGATATTGTGTGTTTGCTTATGTGTTTCACCCAAAAATTAATGTTCCCCTTTAATTAACATCTTTAAAATCGTAACAGGCAGCATTAATAATAATAATAAAAAAAATAAAAACGTGGGAGAGCATTGCTGTTATGTGATTGTATTGTAATGCAATATAGAGCAATTGAAAGTTCAAGAAACCCTCGAGTACCTTTTTTTGAGATTTAAACAGATTTGTGTGTGTTGAGCCTCAGTTAAGACAATGTTAGCAGCTGTCAGCTTTAATTGTGGGAAAAACTGGATAATTTTGAGCTTTTTTTTTTTAGCTAATTTCAGCTTCCGGGCAACGTAGCGCAAAACTGCAAGTGCAAAGCGGAGTTTTCTTATCTTATGAGCTGGGCCAGACGGAATCTGCGGACGTTTTTTGCTATTTCTGCAGAGAATTTTGGTAAAAATCTGGGGATTTCTGCGGAATTATTTTAGGAGTATCCAGCGGAGTATCATAACTAAAACCTTAATATATTAAATAAAAAGTAATAAATTACTGAATAAAAACTGAATAGATTCTGATTTACACATTTACTCAAGTAAATAAACAGAATTAATAATGGGCTAAAAAACTGCAGAAACCTGCGGATTTCTGCAGAATTCTGCGTGCGCAGATTCCGTGTGGGCCTACCTATGAGAAGGGCCTCCTACTTAATTATTCATGAGAGCATGTGCTTTCCAAAGGCAAAGCAGACCTGCCAGTGCCAAGCTGTGTGAGATCCTACGTTGATGACGCGTCCACGGACCCACGGCACACAGTATTTAGCTGTTCATGTTTGTTTCCCTGATCCACGGGGTTTGTTGCATGTTTTTCACCACAATCCCGTCAGGGCAGATACATTTAGTCATTTAGCAGATGCTTTTATCCAAAGCGACTTAGAAATGAGGACAAGGAAGCAATTTACACAACTAAGAGCAACAATGAAGAAGTGCTGTAGGCAAGTTTCAGGTATGTAGTTTCGATACAGCAAAGTGTGTGTGTGTGCTGCAAGCATTTTTGTCTGGAGAGCAGTATGAGAATTGGAGAATGGCGGGCGTTGTCTTTTATAAGGAGTTCGTTCACAGTTAGACACATCGCCGTGCTGCTGTGTTCGCCGAAATCCTCTTGATTACCAGCAGGGCTAACGCCCTATTCACACGGGGCTTCAGCGTCAACGCTTGACAGAGGGCGTGTCTGAAGTTGGAGCTGAAACGATCGTCATAGAAGCGTCAGCCAATGAAATTCAGTCAGCAATAGGCCACTGTCTGAGCTGGTGTATTTGCATACAGCGATCTGATTGGCTGACGCTTCCGTTGGCGCTTGAAAAGTTGAGCTAGTCCCAACTTCTGCAGCGAGGAACGCTTCTGAAGCGGCGCCGACGGATCCACAATGCAGTTCGGCAACGCCTGACGTCACCCATTCAAAGTGAATGGGAAGCGTTGACGCTGAAGCCCCGTGTGAATAGGGCGTAATGGTTAAAATAGACAGGGCAGAGACCTGCTGCACTGAGTCTGCATTCAGACTCTGGATTGAGGGAGAAGTCCTCATTTAAAGTGTTTATATGAACACCATTATCTTTATAATGATATAAATTGTGGTTGTGTGTGTGTATATACAATTACGAATAGCAAATGTAGCTGGGCAATTAAATTACTGTTTATTTCTTTGCATTTTAACTTTGTAAACTATAAACTCATATGTCTCCTCACAGTTTGTGTCTCATTTTGTGAACCGACTGGCAACTGTTGTTCGCTCCCCTCCTTCTCCCCTGCTGGCCACGCCCACTCCTGCCCTTTGCTCGCGGAGCTCCACCCCCATTATGATGCATCTTTTGAAAAAATTCTGAGGTGGACCTGAACCGAAATTGGAGGGTCATGACCCTTTAAGTGTTGATGTTAAATCTAGGGATGCAATGATTATAAATTTTGGTTGTATGCTTACAGTCTAAGAAATAACCTCGGTTTCACGGTTATCACGATTATTTGCATTCATTGATTAAAGCACTCCCACCAGTGCTGATATACAGCCATAGCACACTGCTACGAATGTGATATTGCTCATATAAAACATGACAAGATAAAAACATATGTTAACCCTTTTATTATATAAAAATGTTTGAATTGAATTTTCGAACAATACTTGATGTACGCTGCAACAGTAACGTTTGCAAATATATAGCCAACAACAGCAAAATCTTATCGTAGTAAAGTTGGTTTTATATTCGTACATTCGTTTATTTAACTCTCTCTATATTGTTTACCATGCTAATTTGAATATTCAGTCAGAATTAGCATGCAAGTATGACTTCAAAACAACATCAACCCTATCTAATTGACTGTAAACATGGTTGTACTTTGATAGTCATTGGCTGCTAATATGATTTCCTAATTTAGAGTTTGCAAAGAATACCTTTCTGAAAGTATATTATCGAGCAGAATGTCTGAACATCCCAATATAAAACCAACTTTACCTCTATCAAAATCTTGACTCCTAAAATAAGAAATTCCTCCTACTTATTTATAGGAACTCAGCCTAGATGTGCACTAAATTAATAACAGCAGTACATAAACAACACATGAATAAATTAATAAACATAATATTAATAATAAACATTAATAATAACAACAACCATCTATTTCATTAGAGGGTAATGCCCCAAAAGATCATTTGGAAATCAATCACATTGTGGCTTTTTAAACAACAATACAGATCAATATCATTTATCATTGTTTTCAAGTTAAGCTTATTAGAAACCTGGTGTGTCTAACACAATTAAAGAGAAGCATCACAGATACTGGTGTAGCTTTATTTTGTCGCTCATTTGATTTGACATTGACGTTAACGAGACTAAATTACCTGAAAGCTGCGGAGACTCCATTTACTTGCCGAGCAAAACAGACTGAATAAGACACGAAGGTGTTTTATACCTGCGGGACGGGGCAGGGCATAGCCTTCTTCCGCATACTCATGAATATAAATGCCTGAGTTCGGTCGTCTGATTGGATGGCAGCGGTTCAAACTCAACAGCTGAATAAACAAGCCGTTTTATTAATAAGTCCACAGGTTTGGATGGTGCAGGATTACTATAGCAACATCGACAGATAATGCTGACCTAATTAATATTCATGATTGCAATGTTTGTCATAAACACAAAATCCTGTTTACGCCTCATAAAACACTTTGAGGCTTTTGCTTTCTGTGCTTAAAGACTAAACGCAGTGATCGTGGCCTGTTTTTGTGATCACGGATGTAATGCAATCTTCAGACACGTCCTTCAGGTGAGTAATGGACGGATTGCATAATAAATGATGAACTTTGTCTGTCATGTAGCGTGGGCGAAAAAACCAAACAAAACCAAACGGTGACCTTATTACTTGTATTTATTTTATTCGTTTTTTATACTCCAGGGCAGAAACTTTTTTGTATACTTAAAAAATATAATGATTATACTGGGAATTAGCGATTTCATATTTATATGCATACATATACGTGCATATATCCATATTATTATAATGAATATAATATAATATAATAATAAAAACGACAACAATCATAAATTATAAATAAATTCTATTTTTAATATTAATAGAAATATTACATCAAATATAAATTATTGATTAATCATTAAAAATTATTTAATAATTAATAAAAAAATTACAACTGTATAAAAAATAGCTTACATTTCCATAATATAATATAATATAATATAATTAAATTATATTAAATTATATATAAATTATATTTTTAATATTTATAGAAAAATTACATCAAATATAAAAAATTGGTTAGTTTTTAAAATTATTTAATAATTAATAAAAAATTACAAATGTATAGGAAATAGCCTATATTTCCATAATATAATACAATAACATTAAAATAAAATAAAATAAACAATGGTCGTCACGGTGGCGCAGTGGGTAGCACGATCGTCTCTACAATCATAAATTATATATAAATTATATTTTTATTATGAATAGAAAAATTACATCAAATATAAATAATTGGTTAATTATTAAAATTATTCAATGATTAATAAAAATTACAACTGTATAATAAATAGCCTACATTTCCATAATATAATATAATATAATATAATATAATATAATATAATATAATATAATAAATATAATAATAGCAACAACACTAATAACAACAACAATCAAAAATTACATATAAATTATATTTTTAATATTTATAGAAAATTTCATCAAATATAAAAAATTGGTTTATTACTAAACATTATTTAATAATTAATAAATAATCACATCTGTATAGGAAATAGCCTACATTTCCATAATAAAATAAAATAAAATAAAACAAAATAAAATAAATAATGGTCGTCACGGTGGCGCAGTAGCACGATCGCCTCACAGCAAAGAAGGTTGCTGGTTCAAGCCTTGTGTTTGGACTGTGGGGGAAACCAGAGCACCGGCAGGACACTTGCACATTCAAACTCCACACAGAAATGCCAACTGACCCAGCCGAGGCTTAAACCAGTGAACTTCTTGCTGTGAGGCGATCGTGCTACCCACTGCGCCACCGTGACACTACATAATATAATATAATATAATATAATATAATATAATATAATATAATATAATATAATATAATATAATATAATATAATATAATATAATATAATATAATATAGGCAGCACGATGGCGCAGTAAGTAGCACAATCGCCTTACAGCAAGAAGGTCTCTGGTCAGTTCGCATTTCTGTGTGGAGTTTGCATGTTTGGTTTCCCAAAGGCATGCGTGAATTGGGTAAGCTAAATTGTCCGTAGTGTATGAGTGTGAATGAGTGTGTATGGGTGTTTCCCAGTGATGGGTTGCAGCTGGAAGGGCATCTCCTGCATCAAACAAATGCTGGATAAATTGGTGGTCCATTCTGTTGTGGTGACCCCAGATTAATAAAGGGACTAAGCTGAAAAGAAAATGAATGAATGAATAATATAACATATTTTAATTATGATTTATTATTATTTATTTAATTTTAAATGTATTGACTTAAGAATTTAATGACCATTTATTATATATTTTTACATTTTTGTTTAAATATTTATTATTACTATTTTTAGGGGTTTTCACCTTTATTGTATAGGACAGTAGAGAGTATTGGCAGGAAAGCAAGGGGAGCAGAGAGAGGGGAAGGATCAGCATCGGATCGCGAGGCTCGAACTCGGGTCGGCGTGAGCACCAGAATGAATGTGTTGACATATTTACCAAATCACCACTGGCGCCGACTTATTTATATATTAATATACTATTAAAAATGGTTTATTAATACAGAATTAACTTAGTTGTGGCCTGACAGTACATATGAGGGCCTACATACGCTGTTTATTTTAAATTAAATAATATGGCAAATTATGAATACGGATTTCAATCAGATATGTTGTACCTATTGCTTTGCATTACATTGAGTCAGATCATATTACACATTATCAAAAAGCTTCTGTTTACATCCGATGTAAAAATGAAAAGTCATGCAGATGGTTACTGATGTAAAAGTGCTGACTCAGAGTGACAATGCAGAAGTCAGTAGCTCGTGATCTCATGTTTTTCTATGATGTAACAAAGCAGTGCGAGTCAAACCTGTTTTCAGTGGTTTCAGATGAAGCTGCTCTTAAAACAATAGTTCTCTTCAAAATACTGAAGGCTACACCCATGTTTGCACAAAATATTTACAGTAATGACTCATTTCCCACAATACAAGTGGAAGATCAAGTCAAGCACGATTCTACTGTTGTTTTAGATAAGATATAAAAAGTGCAAAATATATAATAATATTAACTATAATTTTCCCAGAGATGGGTTGCAGCTGGAAGGGCATCCGCTGCGTAAAACATATGCTGGATAAGTTGGTGGTTCATTCCGCTGTGGCGACCCAAGATTAATAAAGGGACTAAGACGAAAAAGAAAATGAATGACTGAATGTGTATATACAGTTGAAGTCAGAATTATTCGCCCCCTTTTGATTTTTTTTCTTTTTTAAATATTTCCTAAATGATGATTAACAGAGCAGGGAAATTTTCACAGTATGTCTGATATTTTTTTCTTCTGGAGAAAGTCTTTTTTGTTTTATTTCGGCAAGAATAAAAGCCGTTTTAAATTTTTTAAAAAAAACATTTTTGGGACAAAATTATTAGCCCCTTTAAGCTAATTTTTTTTCTATAGTCTACAGAACAAACCATCATTATAGAATAACTTGCCTAATTACCCTAACCTGCCTAGTTCACCTTATTAACCCAGTGAAGCCTTTAAATGTCACTTTAAGCTGTATAGAAATGTCTTGAAAAATATCAAGTAGAATATTATTATCTGTCATCATGGCAAAGATTTAAAAAAAAATCTGTTATTAGAAATGAGTTATCAAAACTATTATGCTTAGAAATGTGCTGAAACAATCTTCCCTCCATTAAACAGAAATTGGGGAAAAAAATAAACGGGCGCTAATAATTCAGGGGGGCTATTAATTCTGACTTCAACTGTAAGTATATATATATATAT